CTTTTTAGTCGGTGAATGATTGGTGGTAATTGAGGCTTTTTTATATTGATAATCCCACGAAATTCGGCCTTGATAATTTTGTGTTCAAAGAGACTTCATCGATGTTTTTCCGGTTTTCGGTTCGGTTCCGGTTCGACTTTCTGATTATTAGGAACCGAAGGAAGAACAGTTGATCTTTTATTTTTATTTGGAAAAACTGATTCGGTTTCTTTTGGCCAAAGGTACTCATTGTAAATTTGTTTTATTTTCTATTGCATCCGATTTTTGGTCAATAAATTTAGTTATTATTATTAAGTTTTGATATACAAAATTAAGTGTCACAAAAGAAGCGTTACTATCAATATTATTCTTTTCGTATTATTCCAGTATTTTGCATGTTCTACTCAATTTTATTACTATTTTATATAATAGTTCCAATTACGTGTGATTTCTTTTATACAAATACATAAAAATATTTGTTTGTTATATAATTTTTGATGATTTATTTCAATAACAAAATTTTATCATAAGCGTTTTTATATCTTCATGATAAAATTGGACAGTTCACAGTTTACTTATGTCAATTTATTTTTAACATAATCTCAATACTGGAGAAATGGTGGTTAAAAACACACACGTTTCTTTTATTGCTTTGCTAAAATGTTGTAAATATTGAAAAAAATACTGTATCTAAATTAAATAATTTAATTAAAATTTATTTTTAAATATAACTTTTTATAATGTAGTAATTATATTATTATTTAGAATCACTTGACTAAACTAAAAAAAATGAAGTAATTAGTCTTGTATTTCTTTACTATCAGTGCTTAAATCAAGGATTATGCTGTTTTTCAAACATGTTTTACCTACATAAATGATCCTACTATTTTTCTTCATTTTCAACGTTTCGTCTCGCATATGCTGTACACATTTCTGTCCTTTATTTTTTTTTTGCCCGAAAGCGCAACTCGGGTCGAGATGGTAAAGATGGATGCTTGTTTGTGTTTTATGAGTGAGCGAGTGTTCGCTCTTTATTTGAAGGCAATTAAGTATGAAATGAATGAAAACTGTTAAGACCGTTTTCTTTTTAATCTTCTCTCAGTCGGAGATGCTACAGAAACGGGAGCTCGTTTACGAAAAAGAGTAAATAAATAAATGTGTAGTAGATGAACAGAGAGGCACAAGAAACACACGAGCGGAGGCCCCCATTAATCCAGGGGCTATGAATAGAATTAATGTGGTTTGATGAGATCATTTAGGATCGTTAAGAAAAATATACGAGCGCCATAAACATAATGTTGATATGGGACTTAAATGGATTCCCGGTAAAGACAACAAAAAAAACAAATGGATGAAAGAAAGAAAACCACAACGATTATGACTGTTGTGACAAAGAGCATAATTCATTTAAGCCAGGTGTTTTCATTTCAACGAAGCTCTTAAGATTGTCCATTTTTTTTTTAAGTTTATTTTGATAGAAATATCACATCTTAATTTTAGAAAATAAGCAAAAAAGTAGTGAATTTTATATAATAATAATAAGTAAAATACTTATTCTAATTTTATAATTAATAGTAATACTATAAATGTAATACCTATCAAACTATATTAACCGTGCGGACGAGCGGCAAATATATCCGCCCAACTTTGTATGCTAAACTGTATTAATGTTACGAAAATATTGCTGTAATTTAATTAACTTTTCAATCAACAAATACACTTTAAAATGTACTTGTTCTTATTTTACTTGTCAAGTAGGAAGTAAACATAATGTTGATATGGGACTTAAATGGATTCCCGGTAAAGACAACAAGAAAAAACAAATGGATGAAAGAAAGAAAACCACAACGATTATGACTGTTGTGACAAAGAGCATAATTCATATAAGCCAGGTGTTTTCGTTTCAACGAAGCTCTTAAGATTGTTCATTTTTTAAGCAAAAATTAGTGAATTTTATATAATAATAAATAAAATACTTATTCTAATTTTGTAATTAATAGTAATACTCTACAAATTTAATACCTATCAAACTATATTAACCGTGCAGACGAGCGGCTGATATATCCGCCTAGTTTTGTAGGCAAAACTGTACTAATGTTACGAAAACATTGCTGTAATTTAATTAACTTTTCAATTAACAAATACACTTTAAAATATACTTGTTGTTATTTTACTTGTCAAGTAGCAAGTAGGTGACATTAGCAAATTGGTAAATGGGAATTCGTGTGTGGATTGCGAATGCACATTTCTGAATCAATTTGGTTCCAAGACTGACAATTTATGCAGCCTGGCGTCCACGAGAATTTACTATATACTGGAGTGTAAACTAGTTATGTAATCCGTACATAAACAAGGCATGTAGTAGCGCTGTCCGATTTAATCCGACTTTAGTTCACTAAATTAGTTACGCCAAACAATTAACTAAATAAGTAATTTCAAACTGCGATGTTTATATTTTTTCTAATTTTTTCGCAAATCCTTCATTTTTATCAATATTTAGTTCAAAAACACAGTATAGTTGCATTTTTTTTAAATGATACTAATTTTTGATCATTTATGAAAAAAAATAATAGTTTTCAGTTAATAAACTCAAGAATTTAATACTGAAACATGAACAATCGGAAATACTGTATTCGTTCCTTCGTACCATTAAAATTTTCTTGAAATCGAATCACGCAACGTTATAATAATAAAATATGAAGAATATAAGCACCCCAAGGGAAGTAGTTGTAATGAAACTAACAGGAAATCGATAATTGTGTGTGCGTTAAGGAAACACGAGTTAAATGCGATTTATTCCCCCCTTTTCTTTGCATTGGGTATGAGCGTAGGTGGGTCATCACCCTTTACAGAATGAAACCCAATCCAATGGATTACTCCAATTTGGAGAAGTAAACTATGAAAAGAGGTGCAGGAAGGTGAAGGAGGATAAAATAATAATAATAAAAAAAGGGCGTATAACACGATGTAATAGTGAGAATGAAAGGAGTTCCTTCTTTCCCACGATCCTGGCACGACGTTGATTAATATCTCGCCCTCCCTGTACTTATTTACACTGTTTTACATGCATCGAAATTAATGGCAAAATTTTGAAAGGAACTCCACACTTCATGCTCATACATACTTCGTCGCTCCATAGACAAACCGCCTCCTAAATAGAGTTCGGAGAAATATATTAACTTTGACTGAAGGATGATTGATGTCTCTGTGTTATAATAATATGGTTATAAGTCTTCGCGTATAAATAGACATCGATAATGGCTGATATGTTTGCTATTTATTCGCAATATCAAGAATCCTTCAGTATTGTTAATGCATTAATTGATTCGTTTAATTAAGTTATCTACATGTGCTTAACCTTTAGGAAAAAGCTATTAACACTACTTCTTCATCGAACAAGAAGCGTCGAAATTATAATGGCTCGTATGAAAGACATTACGTCAGCGCTTATTATTCAATTTAGGAAACATATAACTACTTGAATCAAACATTTTTAATATTCAATTATTATATCATGTAAAACTCTCATTTTCTCATTATTTCTCAATTAATTCAGTAAGATTACCATTATTTAGTTAATAAACTACAATAGACTTCCGCATAAAGTGAGTTTCTACAACCCGCTAAAAATATTATAACAAAATGCGGGAATTCAAAGTTATACGAAGAAAATTTTCGTATAACACAATTCCATATAACACGTAAAGTATTAACCAAGTTATATAGGAGACTACAGTACAAGTATTTCACTATTTATTTAAATATAACTTAATTCCGTTTTTAGTTAATTATCATATTCTATTTACGTATAACTTTGTATTATTAGTATTATTCTGAGTTAAACGCAAATGTTATGCATACTTCATATTTCATTACATAATGTAAAAATTATTATAATTAATAATAGATATTTAAGACAATCATTAAGATTATGCTTATAAAACTGATTTGGCATCTACTCAAGATTTAACATTAACATATCTATGAAATTAAATTAATTATCATTAATAATGAAACTAAATAATTTGTTAATAAACTATAGAAAAATTGTAAAATTCGTATCTTAATTTACAATTTAGAATTCAATAACAATCGTGACTAGTTGGCGCCTTCTGTGATAATATGTTTATGAAAATGTTGCGTTTATTATCAGATAATATTATTTATGTTTACTTATTATGCAAAGATTAGTGATATTTTACAATTACGATTTAAATTAATTACTTAATGTTTAATTCTAAATATATCATATTTAAATATGAATAAAAGAAGAAAAATAATATTGAATGTTGCGTTTTTATTATTTTTCAATATTATCGTTTGTAATTATTAATATAATGGTGATTCAGTAGTTTCATAAGAAAAATAACAATACACAATACAAAAATATGCATTGTTTTTAAAGCTATAAAATGAAATGTTTACATTATTTTGTAAATATTGTATTATATAGTTTTTATTTTCCAACTCAAATATTTCCTAGTTGTTGATTCTGTAAAATATATACAAAATATACACGTTTTTGGAAATTAAAAAAAATTGTATATAAACATAGTAATATACATGTAATTTACTAATGTAAAAATGATTTTTTCATGAATTTATTCCCTTTTTGTTGGTGAACTGTTTTTAAGTGTATTAAAGAATTTTGAATATATAAAATTGTATAGAGTTAATTAATTAATCAAAATTTAATTTAAGCGCACGGCAAAATGTTTGCAGTTTTATAAATGTTTAATGGAATGGTGAATATTTTTAAATTAAAATTGATTTTTTATATTTGTGAATTTATAGAACAAACTATATATTTGATTTATATAAATTTTATAGGAAATATTTAAAAATAGACTTAAAATTAAATCGATTATAAAATTGATTGTGAATTATAAAGTAAGTTAACAAATCATTTACTTATAAAGTAAAATTTAAGTCGATGTTAAAATATTTCAAAACAATTTGTTAGTGCAGAACTGTACTTTATTAGTAATAATGTAAAGTAGAAGTAAATAAGTGGGATTTACCTTTGCTGTTGAGGGTTCAAAAAGGTCGAACTGGATTTGTAAGTGAAGCTGCAGCGAGCGAAACGAGATTACTAAAAACCGGACACGGTGTAGAAGAGTTGTAGTATTTGGAGTGAGTGTAGTTGTAGCAGCAGCAACTAGAGCTATCAGCTATCTCGACGACGTGAAGAGCGGATCGGTGCGACGGGTGCTGCGGTGCGATGCACAGTGAGCGGGTGTTCGGTGATGAAGCTATGTTAGGTCCTCGGTCGGAGAGCACGGAGAATACTCTTCTCTCTATTGATCACACACAGCACGGAGCCGAGAACAGCCAGCGCTCCGGATATTACGGCTACAGCGGCCGAAACATCTTCAGCGCGCAACATCGGCCGAGTTCGAACCCGCCTGCAGACAACCCTCCACCCTCCTACCTCACCCCGTCATCCTCGGCACTCTCTGAATGCCTACACCAAACCATGCCTCCTACATCCCTGCTGCTGCTGCTGGCCTTCCAGGCCTTTCCACGGCCTGGTGAAACACAATACCTCATGCCTCGTCCCAGAACCGTATCAAGGGACACCGCAGTTCTAGGCGCCACCCATGCCTTAATTATTCACAAAAATACTCGTTTACCTCTAGTTTTAACTTAACCAGACAAATTCCATACTTTTAGCATAGTCATAACCTAAAGATGTGTATACCATGAAGATTCTTCTAAATATTTTACTCTAATTGAAATATCCTAATTATGTACTATAGCAACAACTTATTTAAACTTATTTTTTTAACAATTCTAGATTCAAAACCCATAACATTTACCTGTAATTGATTTACCCTAATTATTTACAATTTATAATTAAACACTAGGTTCATTTATAATCCTCTTTATTTGTATAGCTTGTTTATAATTATAACGTTTTCAGTAATTATAAAAAACAAAGCTTCAGCCCTAACTTAAAGTTTTGTTAAATTCTTTAATTTGTCCATTAAAATGTATTTTTACATTGTCCTAAATACATTTGGAAATACCAATATTTGTTGAAGCGATTATATTAAATATTTGAAATTGAAAATTGAGGAAATATCCTAAATAATTTATATAGATTTTCTTACATAGGTATAAAAGGTGCATAAATCTTGTTTTTAGTTATTTTCTACATATTTAATTACTACTTATATCATTTACTACTAATGATGATTTTTTTTAATTCTATTTAGAATACATATTTTTTTCTGATAGTTTTCCACAATTATATTAATTAAATTAATTAACAATTTTGTTGTCAGAAATCTAGGTGAAAGTGATTAAAAATTAACACTACAAAAACGCTTATTTCATTATATATAATCATTTTTGTATAACCATTTATTATACTTAATAATTAGTTTTTTTATGCATTAGCATTAATTACAACTGAATCTAATAAACTATAATTTATTAACATTATATATTCATATTATAATTTCAAATACTAAACTAAATCAACGAACAAAAACGAAATTATTGATAATTAAAACTTCAATTATTCACAATTAGTTACAAAATTATTTTGCAAATTTATACATAAATTCCTTATGTATTTGAGTAGTAACCTTGAGTATTTGAGCAAGTGCTTTACTTAAGAAGTTTTTAGAAGTATTTTCAACAGATTTTTTTCTGATACCTTTTCACAATTATATTAATTAAATTAATTAACAATTTTGCCTGTCAGAAATCTAGGTGAAAGTTATTAAAAATTAACTCTACAAAAACGCTTATTTTATTATATATAATCAATTTTTTATAAACATTTATTATATTTAATAATTAGTTTTGTATGTCTTAGCATTAATTACAACTGAATCTAATAAAATATAATTTATTAAAATAATATATTCATATTGTAATTTAAACTAAATCAAATACGAACAAAAACGAAATTCTTGATAATTAAAACTGCAATTATTCACAATTAGTTACAAAATTATTTTGCAAATTTAAAAGAAAAATAATAATAAATTCCTAAAAGATATTCTAGGTTTTTTTTTAGTAACCTTGAGTATTTGAGCAAGTGCTTTACTTAAGAAGTTTTTAGAAGTATCTTCAACTTTAGTTAAGATTTTGGTCTAAAACTGAGTTTAACTATGAAGATTGAATGAAATTAAAATTCCTAGATACGGTACTGGCTCATCTAACAACGTCCCCCCAACTCCATGTGATCAACCCACACAACCATAGACAGCCGGGCCTCGGTTCTCTCCAACAACAAAAGAACGAACTCTCAACAAGAACAACGAATGCGGGGTTACAAAAAAAAACACACACACAAAACGACGACTGCCTCACATTACCGCATTTCGTTTCGGCGACAATTACATCAACCGGAATAACGCATTCAATTATGCAACAGACGAACTGTTAACCCACAAATGGGACGAGATGTTATTAATTAGTCCAGCCGTTTTGCTCTAAATTTATAAGCGCAATTGTCACAGAATTTCCATTGCCTCGTATAGGTCCTGTGGAACACGAGGTTACACAATCCCTAGGCACCAAAGAAGAGAAGAGACGAACCATTCCTGTATCCACGTAATCCCCGCACATCTATTCAACATATTTTGCGAATTCTGGATAACATTCCGGTCCCTTTTTGTCCGCCAAAACGCCCTTAATATAATTGAAAGGATTTGTATGTATTAGACGTGTTTGGAAAACTTGGGAAGAGGTCGTGTTAATCCTCCTCCCTTTCAAATCACACTGACATTAATTAGTTTTTAAAACAATTTTAACATTACTTAGATTGCAATCCCTTATTTCAACAATATGTAGCACACATATCGGCTTTATTTATTAGAATAATTCTTTTATATGTATTTATTATTAATTCCAATTAAGATCTATTCATGTAAATATCATTTAATTAAATAATTAGAGTAAATAATATTAAAAAAAGTTTTATTTACTTAAGTATATTTGTAATGCTCATTTCCTATATATATATATACAAAATTATAATTACGAAAAGTAATCTACATAAGTTATGATGTTGCAACTACTAATGTTTTTGTATTACTTGAAAACCAAATCTTTAAACTTAAATAAACATTTATGAATTAGTAATTTTCATATTTTTAATAACTTTGAACAATAATTCAATTCAGTTATGTTTCTCATAATTAAATAACTTAAATTTATCTTCACATTAAGTAGACACGTTTCATTTTTCCGGAATTTAGAAAACATTGAAATAAGAAAATATGCACATTGAAAACAAAGAAAATACTGCACGTATTTAATATTCAAATTAAAAGAAGCAATTATTTTCCCATTACAAACCATATCCAATTCATTTAATGATCTTACGTAACGTAATTCTTGAAAATAATAAACAAGTATATTATGTTACTTCAAATCTATACAAATTATGTTTAGATTTTAACTCAAGTAAAAATCGAAACAAAGAAATGTTTCGGCAAATAAAAGTAAACTGCGCGCAGAACGATTATTGACCATTTCCTTCCTTCGGTCTTTCCATAAATAATAAATACATGCATTTGGACTAAAGGGCCTAAATCGGTTTCAGCTTTTTTACGTTGCTTACTTCTATTCTTATTAAATCAAGAGGTATTTTTTATTATTTATCCATGATTACTACCATTTATTTTTCTAAATTACCTAAAATACATTTTTAAACTGTTATAGAAGTATACTAAAGTTCTAGTATAGATTACAAGATTTATATTTTTCTTAGAATTTACCCAAAAATAAAAAAATCTATTTCTATTGATTTTATAAAGCAATGTATTGTACTTTGTATTTTTTCAAAACTTTATAAAAGTATGAAGTTTTCTTTACTTTTCCATCCATGTTTTCCAATAATTTAAATATCTTTTGAATTTTAGTCAATAATGATAGATATACAATATAGATAAGTATATGTAATAGATTAAATTTGATTATCTTAGGTTAATTTTAGCTTGTTTTGGTTAATAATTTAGTTTGGTTTGATCTAAGTTTGAGAAGATTTATGATATTATACATGAATTAATCTAGTTTTTTCAAAATATTTGTTTAGTTTAGTACTTGTAATCCAGAAACGCTTCAATTAACGCTGATTTGATATAGTTCAGTCTGATTCCTAAAAACCTTTGAAATTTCTAACCGCTAAACGAAGTTTATTAAGCACTTTGAAATAATTCTAGATATGGCTCAATTCCAAGCAATTAATCTTAAGAGAGAAAACTCGTAATAACAAGAAACCCTAATCTTTTTAACACCTAAACACGAAACCCCCAAAGCCAAAAACAAACATCGAAAGGCGTTTAGCATGGGGCGAGTTATATTTACACGAACCGTATCGTCTTTAGTTGCGTGGGTAATAAATAACACTTTTCACCCAATGATCCCTCAACCTGTAAACAAACTTAAACAAGAAACCCAAACATTCAGGATTTAAAGAATCCCATAGCACTTCAATGCAGTTTGCAAAGCGTGAAATAGTTTTATTTTTTTTTTCTGCTTATAAATCAGCGCTCGTAACAACAACGTTCATAATTAGCGCACGATAATTAATCAATCGCGCTTCGGAACGTCGCATGTAACAAACGCGGAATAAATCCAGCATTGATTTTGCACACAACAATTATTGATGAATAGTTAATAACTGCACATGCAGCGCAGACATTGAATAAAATATGAAATATACAACAAAAAGAAAAAATACATTTATTTCGCTTGCATTTTGATAAATATATTATTGTTTTGATAAATTTTGCCCCCTCCGGATGAAAAATGTTTTGTTTTTTCTTTTTTTTTTGCAAAATTCCAGCAGTAAATTTGATTTATTTACAGGCTGTTTATCATTATATTTTTGCTTTTGTTTGTTCTTTCTTTGTCCGTTGTTTTTCGTTTTGTTTCGATGTTTTAATAATAAATATGCGCGCAGTTCGCAATAAAATCTGATTGCATATTGAAAATTTTACGTCCACGTAATTATATAATCGCGTTCCATCCGAACCCGATGGAAATTCGATGCAAAATATTCACACGGATCAATAAATGCGCAATACAACTAATTAACAATGTGATTATGAAACATTGTTTTTTAATATAAATATTT